TCATCTACATGTTTTCTTTCCTCTAATCAAAAAATTTAATCGCTTGAAGAATACTTTAAAGTTATATGAACAAAAATTTTTTATTTTTATTTTTTTTAAGAACCCCACCACTTAATTTTTTTTGCAAAATAAAAAAATTTTTTTTACCTAATTTAAAGCTTATTTTTTTCCAAATTCAACAACCATATATGATAAAGTTATGTTACGAGATATCATTCTCGAAAATTAATTAAAACGCTTCCATATATACGCTTATCCGTACTATGTGTAAGTCATTATCGCCGAAACAATAAGATATATGAAAAATGTTTATGTAAAATTTTTATCTATGTTTTCTATGTATTTATAACTGCATATTGTGTATATTTAGAATTGTAAAAAAATTTTTTAAATAATTTTAAAAATTTAAATTAATAAGAATTTTTTAAATATATCCCCAGCTCTCTTATTATTTCTTTAACATTTAATTTCTTCTATAAAAATTAAAAACAATTTTATTCTAAAATTACCTACTTATAAAAAATTATTTTACAATTGAATCTTGAAAATATACATGTCGCAATAGTTGGCATAAACAATTTATATCTTACGTTAAAAAATTAAGATAAGATTATGTGTACGTGTTCCAGATATGTTAACAGTATAAATTTTTCATGTAGCAATCTAATACTCACAGTCAGCACACACTGTCTTTTCGTTATATAATCAAATCTGTTATTCATCTTTACACATTATATTTTGAATAACGTTTTATAATTTTTTCTCTTACAATTATTTTTGTTCTTACATCTTACATTTTGTTTATTTGTTATTTACACAATGAATTTATTTACATTTTATATTATTTACTCATTATACACATTACAATAATGATATTCGACAAAAAAATTTTTAAGCATAATGATTTCTTGCACCAAGAACATCTTACTACAGTTATATTATTGCATCTTACTACAGTTATATATTGCAACCTTCAATATCACATTTTGTTGATGTTCCGTCAAAACTAAATTTTACTGGATTTTCAAATTCTTCTGGTCTTTCATTCATATAACCACTTTTAAACCACGAATATTTAAATAAGTTTTGATATCGTGGGAATGATAATTGATTATGTATCAAAGATTGCAATTTTATTATATTATTTCGTTCATGTAAATTTATATTACTTTCCAACAATAAAACCGTATCTGAAAATCTTTTAGCAAAATTTTTCCAAATTCTGAATCCATAAACATCTAATGGTTGTATTTTCCCTGTAGTTCCTTTCGATATTATCATGGTAGTAATATGTGTTCCTGGACGGGTTAAATCCGAAATAGTATTGGGGCAATGTCCAGTCCATGAATCGATAGGAAGAACGCTATTAGGACCAATGTTTGCAAAATAACCTTCTTCTAACCACATTTTAAAATGATCTGTAAAAAATATTAATGATATAATAGTTTTTATAACTCTTATTAAATTATAAAATGAAATAAGTTTGTTAAAGAAAATAGTTAGAAAAGAAAATACCTGATGTCATTTTACCAGATTTCGATGCTTTTACAATGACATTTCTGGTTTAAATAAATTTTCTTCTACTCTAGGTCCAAATTTACCACTAGCTTCTTTTAATACAATAAATAAAGGTGATAACAAATTGCCATTACAGGATATTATTGGTTGTATCGTATATGAATGGGTTGTTGATGATATAGATTGCACGACATGTTCTACTTTCTTTTCTCCCTGGTTAGACAATGATCTTCCAGAATGAATTTCCAGTTGGAAACCACTTTGATCTGAATTGTAAATATTTCCAGATCCAAATTGTTCAATAAGAGGTTTTACTGTTTCCAGAAAATCATCAGCTGATTTTTGCAAATCAACAGAATCTTCTAATGTTCTTCTAGTGATAAACTTCGTAACTTTTCTTGAAACAATTCGGTGAAACTTCTTGAATCTTGCAATCCAACTGTGAGATGCTTTAAATATAGGATTTAAATTTCCTATTTCTTCTTGAGCTTGTAAAGCCCATCTTTTTAGATCAATATCATGAACCATGAATCCTGATTCAACAGCTACAGTAAATTTATCGTGTGTAAATTTGGAGATGTAAGATAATTTTTCTATACGACTTCCACTTGAATTTATTTGTTCTTCCCATCGCCTTAACTGACGTTCAGATGAAACTCTTCTAAATTTATTTTTCACTACTTTTAAAGGACGATTTCTTTTTTTGTCATTACTGTTTTTATCAATATCTCGATGTCGCCAAAACTCAACAGCTCGTCTTTTATAAAAACTGTCAAAATTTGAACTATCATCATTTGAACAATGAGGATGAGAATTTACATTATCTTCATTCCATGCTTCTTCAATTATTTTAGGACTATGTAATTTATAAGGTTTTTCATAATCGAGATATATTTCTTCCGTTACTTCCAACCCATTATAATGAAAAACACCACCCAGCAATAATTTTTGTGTTTTCCTTTAATTCCTTTTCTGCTTCAGTTACTGGTGTTTCTGTTAGATATATTGAATTTATTGGCACCAATGAAAGTCTAACAACGTTAAGCGGATTGATAATCATTTCCAAAGATGTTAAATTTTGCTTTCTATTGCAATATAAAAACAGTTTACACAGATATGATTACAATGAGAAGACTACACTGACTATGAGAATTATGCTGCTATATGAAACAATATATATTATCAACTTATCTAGGACACATACACATAATCTTATCTTTTAAAGTAAGATATAAATTGTTTACGTCAAATATTGCGATATGTATTTTTTTGCAAAGATTTAAATGTAAAATAATTTAATTAGAACTTATCTGGAACACGTACACATAATCTTATCTTAATTTTTTAACGTAAGATATAAATTGTTTATGCTAACTATTGCGACATGTATATTTTCAAGATTCAATTGTAAAATAATTTTATTATAAGTAGGTAATTTTAGAATAAAATTGTTTTTAATTTTTATAGAAGAAATTAAATATTAAAGAAATAATAAGAGAGCTGGGGATATATTTAAAAAATTCTTATTAATTTAAATTTTTCAAAATTATTAAAAAATTTTTTTACAATTCTAAATATACACAATATGCAGTTATAAATACATAGAAAACATAGATAAAAATTGTACATAAACATTTTTCATATATCTTATTGTTTCGGCGATAATGACTTACACACATAGTACGGATAAGCGTATATATGGAAGCGTTTATAATTAATTTTCGAGAATGATATCTCGTAACATAACTTTATCATATATTTGGAAATAATTTTGGTTGAATTTGGAAAAAAATAAGCTTTAAATCAGGTAAAAAAAAATTTTTTTTATTTTGCAAAAAAAATTAAGTGGCGGGGGTTCTTAAAAAAAAATAAAAATAAAAAATTTTTGTTCACATAACTTTAAAGTATTCTTCAAGCGATTAAATTTTCATTACATATTTCCTTTTCTATCACTTATAGTTTAGTAGATATTCGATTCTAACGAAAAATACCGTTTTTCTTTAAAGGGGTGTTTCACCCTTTAAAACTCAATATTCGCAGATATAAAAAAATACGTGTCTTTTAAATTTGTGTATTTAACAACATATTTGAAGGAGAATCAAATCGGTTCCGGACAGTTGTGACATGTCCCTTGTAAGTGCATGAAATTTCGAAATTTGAACAGCCGCCATTTTTAATGGAGGGGGGGATCGGAGCGACTTAAAATTTTAAGGGTGTGTTTGTTATGAAAAGACCTTTCAAATGAGTCCCCACTCGACCCTTAGTCCAATTTAAAATTTTCAACCTCCCTTTTACCCCCACGTACCAGGGGGTGGGAAATGATCGGTATCCATGTCATAAGGTAGCTTTTTTGAAAAATTAAAACATGTGTTTTACCATTTTTTGATATTTTTATTTTTACAAGAATTATTTAAGGGTTTCCACACTTTTGACAAACTCTGTATACGGTATAACATAATACAGAATAATTTATACAATGAATAACATTCCACAGAAATGATGCTTCGGAAGATTTAAAGGGATATATTATATAATGCCGAGCTGTGAAATTTTTATGAGGATTTATAAGTTTAAAATAAGTTCAATAACAGTTTAAAAAAAAATAGTACATTAGATTTTACATGATCCGGCTGCTTACATATCGTTTCACTTTATTTTCACTCTCTCTCTCACACTCTCTCCCTCTCCCCCTCTCTAAATTTCAAACTGTATATGTCTAATAAATACTTCGTATGTTGGTGTCCGATATTATACGTATATTATTCTACAGGGATTATTTTTGATTTATAATATTAGGAATACAAATAAGTTTCCGCCGTTTGACAAAAGATGGCCCCACCAGAAGGTTATGTTGAAATTGTCAGATATAAAACGTAATATCGTAAGTTTGGACATCTGGTAACAACATAACCTTGAAGTATTAGTGACTCCGTATCAGCATCACATAATTTTTTTCGTGCGAAAATGTCAAGTTTTGTGCCGAATAAGCGTCATTTGCGGGAACTTTTGATTTACTTCTTTAATTTGAAGAAGTCTGCAGCTGAGGCGCATCGATTGCTTGTAGAAACATATGGTGAGACTGCTTTAAATGAGAGAAGTTGTCGTGAGTGGTTTCAAAAGTTTAAAAACGGTGACGTGGAAGACAAAGAACGTAGTAGAAGGCCGAAAGTGTACGAAGACACGGAATTGAAAGCATTATTGGAGGAAGATTCGTGCCAAACGCAAGAAGAACTTGCACTTACATTAGAAGTGACTCAACAAGCAATTTCATATCGTTTAAAATTGGGAATGATTTAAAAACAAGGAAATTGGGTTCCATATGAACTGAAGCCGAGAGACGTTGAACGCCGATTTTGCACGTGTGAAATGCTGCTTGCCAGGCATAAAAGAAAGGGTTTTTTTGCATCGTATAGTCACTGGTGATGGAAAATGGATCCACTACGATACCCCAAAAAAGAGAAAATCATGGGGACCATCTGGCCATGCTTCAACATCGACAGCTAAACCGAATATTCATGGAAAAAAATGCATGCTGTGTATTTGGTGGGATCAGCTTGGTGTCGTGTATTATGAGTTGCTCAAACCGAGCGAAACCATTACTGGAGCTCTCTACCGAACACAATTAATGAGATTGAACCGAGCACTCAAGGAAAAACGCGCCCATTACTACTCCAGACACGACAAAATTATTCTCCTACATGGTAACGCTCGGCCACATGTTGCAAAACCGGTCAAAACCTATTTGGAAACACTTAATTGGGAAGTCCTACCCCACCCACCGTATTCACCAGACATTGCCCCTTCCGATTATCACTTGTTCCGGTCGATGGCACATGGCCTATTTAAGCAACGCTTTACATCATATGAAGATACTAAAAATTGGGTCGATTCGTGGATAGCCTCAAAAGATGAAGAGTTCTTCCGACGTGGTATCCGAATGTTGCCAGAAAGATGGGAAAAAGTAGTGGCTAGTGATGGACAATACTTTAAATAAAACGTAATGTACCGTTCTTTCACAATAAATTCCTACTTTTTGATAGAGAACGGCGGAAACTTATTTATACTCCTAATATTTATTCTAAACTTTATATGAATCAGCTAGAATGGCGCGCGCGTAAATAAAAGAGACAGAGAGGGACAGAGAGAGAGAGAGAGGGGGCGAGAGGGCGGGAGAGAGAGAGGGGGTGAGAGAGAGAGGGGGTGAGAGAGAGAGGGGGTGAGAGAGAGAGGGGGGTGAGAGAGAGAGAGGGAGGTGAGAGAGAGGGAGAGAGAACGTAAGAGAGGGGGAGGGGGAGAGGTTTGGGGATAGCGGGTGAGAGTAGGAGAGGGAGGGTTAGAGAGAAAAGAGTATAAGGGAGAGAGTGTGAGAGAGAGAGGGGAGGAGGGAGAGAGAGGGAGAAAGAGAGGAGAGTGTGAGGGAGAGAGTATGAGAAAGAGGGGAAGGGAGGGAAAGGGATATGCGGTTAGGGGGAGAGGGGGAGGGAAGAATGGGAAATGTGAGGCAGAGAGGGAGAGGGATGTGTGAGTGAGTGAAAAAGAAATGATAGGGCCGATGATCAAAAAGTAGGGAACATCATCATTTGTTATCGACGTTAGTGAATTTTGGTATATATGTATATATACAGAGTGTCATAAAAATACCGGGCCCCCAGGATAACTTTGCAGGATCGTTTTCATAAAAAACTTTAAACACAAAAGTTGTAGAAAATCGAGTAACGGACTTGATGGTGACCATGAATTTAACATTAGCCATCACTTTCAAGGTCATTTGGAATATGCGTTTTTTAAATGGGAACCCTTATTTTTATTACACTTTTTTTTTCTCTCCCTCCCTTCCTCCCCTTCCCCCCTCTCTCCCTCTATCCCCCTCTCCCCCTCCCGCCCCCCTCTCTCTCTCCCTCTCTCTCTCACACTCTCTCCCTCATCCTCTCTCTCTCACACTTTATCAAAGTCCTTTCACATAGTCAAAATACGTGCAAAGATGAAGCGAAACATTGCCATGCAAAAGGATTTGAAATTCAGTCCAGTCAGTGCGACGTAAATTTTTAATTACAAACACATTATAAAGTTTTTCTAGGCCGATATAGAATATTAATTTCATATTGAGCAATGCTCCGTTTCATATTCCCACACATGTACTTTACCTTTATAAAAGAATTCTTAATTCGGCGCGTCGAATGCGACGTAAACTTTGCAAGAAACAGCAGGTGTCCTATCGTAATAGTTTCTCATCATTTTTCCAAGATGTTTCTTATTACTCCTTTTTATTTTCGTATGAATATTTATTATGCAAAGTGAAAAGGTTTTCAATTTGATACAGCCAGGGCGACGTAAAGAAGGACTCGTTGTCCTAATCGCAATAATTACTCATCGTTCTTCTCAGATGATTTGCATTATTCCATTTTATTTTGGCAGGAATATACACTGTACGAAAGTCTTTTTCATTCCGTGCAGCCAGTGCGACGTAAACTTTGCAATAAAGTGTCGGTATTCTATTTGAAATAGTTTCTCATCGTATTTCTAACATGTTTTTTATTATTTCATTTTATTTTGACAGGAATATTCACTGTGCGAATGTGTTTTCAATTCCGTACTTCCAGTGCGACGTAAACGTTGCAGGAGGAACTCGGTGTCCTATTCGCAATAGTTTCCCATCGCTTTTTTCGGATGATTTGTAATACTCCGCTTTATTTTGGCAAGAATATTTACTGTACGAAAACATTTCCGTACTACTAGTGCGACGTAAACTTTACAAAAAGAAGTCGCTGACACGATAAAGTGAGAAGCCGATTTATACAAGTATACTATTGAAAACAAGTATACTATTTCTGAAGAATTATTTTCGTGTAATAATATTCATTACTCAAATTATTCTTTATTATGTTACGCTGTATATATATCAGCGAGTCGAAAAATCCGAGAAGCAGCAGCAAAATGCACATTTCAGAGAGAATGCAAATATCGGCAGCGTCGCATTCACATTCATATAAGATCTGTATGTAGAAAAGTCGAAATGACAATGCAGCACACACACATTTGTCCGAAGTCTATGAGAAAAGATATATATGGAAAAATGCGACGAAAGGATAGCGTAATCGCATCAGCGCTTATCCGGCAATTATCTTTACTATAGAAATACTATATAAATATATATACACATATGTACCAAAATTCACTAACGTCGATAACACATGATAACGTTCCCTACTTTTTGACGATCGCTTCTACGTTATCGACGCTTTGCAAGTTCGTTGACGACTCCAGCATCCCCTTAAATATCTGAAAAAATATTAGGTAAATAAAAAATGTTTCAGACAAAAGTTGTTCAAATTAATTAGTGGAAAAAAACGGTGTGATAAAAAATTGGAGTTGCCATTTAAGATTTTTATATCGATAACGTTTCTCAAGGTCATTCCAAGGTCAAACAATTATCAATATCTGATAGCTTTTTTTAAGCCCTACAACTTTTGTTTCAAACATTGTTTTAAACAATCATTATTTTTTGAAATAATTAGCTGAAATAATTAGCCAAAAGCCGGAACTTTTGGCAGACCCTGTATACAGGGTGTTCGTTTGAAAACTTTCCAGCTAATTATCTCGAAAACTATGAAAGATATTAAAAAAAGCTAAAACACTTGTTCTATGATTTCGAAGGGGAAAGAGAATGGCATTATCAGTTTTTTATTTGGAGGGCGTTCTAGGTCATGCGAAGGTCAATCTTGTTTTTTTAAATGGAAACCTATATTTTTTATTACGGGATATTATTCTACGTAAAAAAACTGACAACTTCTGTAGGAAACATTTTTTTGTCTGAGCACTATATTGAAAGATACTTAAGAAAATAATAAGGCATAGTTACTGCGTCAAATTTGTCACTTATTATAACAGATGTTCAACATGTTCTCCGTTGTTTGCTAAACGATATGTTCGGAACGAACATAGAATAACTCCGGAGAGCTGGCTGGTGAATTTCGGATCGCAGAGCGATGTCCGCCTGCGAGACTGTCGCTCGAGCAACTGGACAACCGACCGATCGTCTTGGCCGACGTTACGTCTGAGTTACGTCGTAAGGCTGTCCAAAGCCTTGCAGAAACGCGCAACACCGTGCGCCAGGGACGGCGGCGAGAGCAAGAGAGAGGAAGGACATGCCCGTGATGACGCAAAGAGGCACGCAGTGGAAAACGCAACGGACGCAATAGAACGCAGTAGAAACGCAAGTGGAATAACGCAGAACGATGCAGAAGGAACGCAATAGAAACGCAGCTATTTACAAAGGAATTACGTTCGTCAGCGCAAAGTCCCGGAGGACACACGCGTCAGTGACGCCAATGGCGAACGGCATCCGGAGCACGTCAAAGTACACGGAGACGAAACGATCTCCATCGTTTCGGAAGGCCTGCCCTTCCGGACGTAACGGCCTACAGCCAGCCACGGTCCCGAGGACGCGTGGAAAAGAGCGCTGAGCTCTAGCAAGCGAAGGGCACTAATTCGCTCCCGAGAGAAAGCCAAGGTCCGCTACGGATGCTTGGAAGAAAGAGGAGCTCGAAAGCTCCGAGGAGGCGACCGAGCCGCTCCTGAATCATGGCAACGCCGTAAGCACAAGAATAGAAGATTCAAACCATTAGCCTCAAACCCAGCAGGGTGTATTGGCGCCGCCTTCAACTCAGCAGAGTATGTAGAGCGGTGGTCCGAATCATGAGAGCACGACCGCTCTAGGAAACCCTAGAAAGCGCATCGGCAACCAGCAGTGCGACACAGTTCACACTAAGAAGTAGCACAGATTTGCCACTGAGAACGGCTAAGCAAAGGATATGGCAAAAGACAAGACAAGGCAAGGTACGGCGCGCCCGGTTATATAGTCGGGCGGTCGAATTTTGCATGCGGGCAGTGAAATCGCGGGCTGCACCGCATAGCGGCCGCGGTCGGAGTTACCAGCCAGGCGCGGAACGTCGGCCGGAGTCCCGCGCGCTCGCTTGCGAGAAACCGGTGTCCCTCGCCGCTTGCGAGAATTCCTCGGAAGCTAGGCCGCCCGCCCCGCAGCGCCGATCCCCTAGCCGGTTTTTCCGGCAGCCCGAGCTGTACAAAACACAATAATAAAGACAATTTTGAAATTCTAAACGAACACTTTGAAAGGTATCTGTTGGAATAGTTCTACATTCCTGTACAATTCTTTGACGCAAATCGTTAATATTTTCCGGTGGAGTTTTAAGCTAGCGGCACACGGTGCTTGTTTTCGTGCTAGATTGCTTGCTGGATGAAAATACTGCGTTCTGATTCGTACATTTCCGAAGATGAATGGCAATGCACCAATTAGAACGCAATATTTTCATCCAGCAAGCAATCCAGCACGAAAACAAGCACCGTATGCCGCTGGCTTTATAAACAACGGATATGCCTTTAGATAATCTCTGATACAAGTTTCACACTTGATTGAATAATACACTGTAAAAGACAGAAGTGAAGTGATTAAGTACAACATAAACAAATGGCCAAAAGAAGTCAACTTTGTTTTCAAAAAGTACGTGTTAGTACGACCGAGAAATATTAACGATTTGCGTCAAAGAATTGTACAGGAATGTAAAGCTATTCCAATAGATACCTTCCAAAGTGTTCGTTTAGAATTTCAAAATCGTCTTTATTATTGTTTAGCAAATAACGGAGAACATTTTGAACATCTGTTACAATAAATGATAAATGACGCAGTAACTACTATGCCTTACTATTTTCTTAAGTATTTTCCAACATAATGCTCATATAAAAAAATGTATCCTACAAAAGTTGCTGGTTGTTTTACATAGAATAATATCTAGTAATAAAAAATATAGGTTTCCACTTAAAAAAACAAAACCATCGAATGATCTAGAAAACGCCTTCCAAATAAAAAATTGATAACGCTATTCTCTTTCCCCTTCGAAATTATGGAACATGTGTTTTAGCTTTTTTTAATATCTTTCATAGTTTTCGAGATATTTAGCTGCAAAGTTTTCAAATCAACACCCTGTATATAGGATGTCCCATTTTAATGTCCCACCCCAAATAACTCTTCAGTATTGAAGTTTCAAGGAAAATGATCTGAATAAAAGTTGTAGGGATTTAAGTGAGCTATCTTATGATGACCTTGACTTTGATCTTGACCTTGACCTCTATTTTCAAGGTCATTTGAAGGTCAACTTGCGTTTTTTAAACGGGAACTCTTATTTTTTATTATACTGTTTTTTTCTACTAGTTAATTTGAACAACTTTTGTCTAAAACTTTCTTTATTTGTCTAATATTTTTTGAGATATTTGAGAAAACTTGATAACTTTTTCAATATTTAACTTATGATATCTTGCTAATTATTTGTCGGAAGAAAAAGTGGTACTAGACTTTCTTGCTTTATTTAGTCTTAAAAATATATTGTTACAATAGCGCCCTGATTTTTGTTAATTTGATGATTTTGAAACTTCCAAAAATCAGGAAGTTAATAAAGTTCAAGGCGCTATTGTAACAATATATTCTTGAGACTAAATAAAGCAAGAAAATCTAGTACCATTTTTTTTCCGACAAATAGCGAGATATCGTAAGTTAAATATTGAAAAAGTTATCAAGTTTTCCTCAAATATCTCAAAAAATATTAAATAAATAAAAAAGTATTTTAGACAAAAGTTGTTCAAATTAACTAGTAGCAAAAACAGTATAATAAAAAATAAGGATTCCCATTTAAAAAACGCTAGTTGTTCTTCAAATGACCTTGAAAATAGAGGTCAAGGTCAAAATCAAGATCATTATAAGGTAGTTCACTTAAATCCCTATAACTTTTATTGAGATCATTGAATCCTTGAATCTTCAATACTGAAGAGTTATTTGGGTTGAGACATTAAAATGGGACACCCTGTATGAGAAGTTTATATGTTTATTTTTGTAATGTGTGACGTAACCACTCAATGGAAACAGTACATAGAGTTGCAAGATCGAACATATTCATTAATATGTCAATAGCCAAAATGTACAACGTTTTTTTATACGAATGGTACTCAGGTGCCCATCTATCGAATTTCTTAAATAAATATGCTGTATGTTGAGAGCATTTTTTCTTTAGCATTATATTGGACAGTTACAAGTCCAAAATAGGAAAGAGGAACTTTTATAATCCTTAATGATCTTTATAGCTTTTACAAAAGTGTTTGGAATAGATTTAGCCATGTAGTTGCATAGTTTATTTCAGATTCCAACGAGCTGCAGGCTACAGTTACTCGACACAGTGATGCGAAATTTTCACCGCAAGCAGCATACGCATACAATCGAACTCGTGTTCGTATCTGCTCAGATGCTCGGCTATTCGAAACTATGCTGCTTGAAAAAAGACGAAGAGTGAAAGCCATAAGGTTGCGACGAGTATGAATCGTTTTTGGAGTATTTTAGGATTCATCCGATTTAACGATTCGAACACACACTGTGAACGTGCACGTGGGGATAAAACTACTCTTTTAGTGACATGTGGAACATGCTCGATGCAAATTTATCAAAAAATTACCGGCGGAAAATTTGACCATCGGTGAACAATTATATCCTTATCGAAAACACACTAAGTTCACCTAGTATATTCCATCTAAGCCCGCAAAATATAGTGGATTTATGATGCCAAAAATGCTTATCCACTAAGTGGAATAATTTACACCAGGAAATGCCCGAGAGAAAAGTCAAGAAGAAAGAATTGTGAAGGAGCTTGCGGAGCCATACAAAGGAAGAAATATATACATGGACAACGTTTCCACATCGCCAACCTTTGCCAAACATTTATTGTCATAGAATTTGATTGTGGGTATTTTGAAAAAAATAAAGCCTATATTCCAAAGACAATGTCCCCATCGAAAACAAGGAAAGAATATTTGACGCTGTTTAGTTTTTACGAGAAAGTAACCAAGTTCGTATGAGCGAAGAAAATAAAGCCGTAATTGTATTATCGACGACGCACTCGGATATGGCAGTGGTAAATGATGTTAAGAAGCCAGAGATTATATTGTACTATAATAAGTACAAGGCTGGTGTCGACATAATGAATCAAATGCAAGGGCAATACACAACACAACGCCGTACGAACAGGTAGTTACTCGCCTTATTTTTCAATAGTTTCGACATTGCCGCGCTTGCGACGTACATTATTATAAAAATAATAAAATGTTAAAAGAAGACCAATAAACGTCGCTTATTTTTGCGATAACTGAGCGAAGAACTTGCCATACCGATTATTGAAGATCGTTCTCAAAATGTGCAAGTCATGAGAAATGATTCGACGAAG